GGTGGGGGGGATACGAGAGGTCTCCAACAGCAGGACAAACTTGTCTGTCGGTTTGTCCTACTGTGGTGACATGTAGATGCGAGTTAGGAATAGGAGGAGGATATGGAATGTGTGGCTAAATAAATGCCTCCATGAACAACTGCTTCCTTTGCCCTGAGACCACAAGAACTGGATGGTGACCAGCTACCACTGCTGAACATTTTGATCAAAGATTCCATAAAAGAATCCTGATCAAAAGGGAGACAATGAAGAACAGAATTTAAAATGCTCACGGACTCCAGACTTTCTGGAGCCATGGAGGCTGGATAAACGCCTGAAACTATTGCCCTGAGATCATCTTTAAACCTTAAACTGAAAATATCCCCTGCAGTCATCTTAAAACAAAATAGTTTAGCTAAACTAGTTAAAAAAAAATAGGTCTGCCTTGAGCAGTATGCTATTTAAGGAACTATCTAGATAGGATCAAAGTGACAATAGCAACTCAAAAGAATAGATAGGAAACTTATGAGGCAGTGAGTTTATGTTAATGAGAGAGGAACAACTCAGAAAAGGAAAGAATGGCTGCACAACTCTAACAATGTTATCAATATCATTAAATGGTACATGCAGAAACTGTCTAATGGTGTATATTTTGCTATGTATATTCTCAACAACAAAATAAATACAATTTAGAAAAAAAAAATGTATATATATCCAGAATCCAAACATTACCATCACCCTGGTCCAAGCCACCATTCTTTCTCTCACGTGGATACTACGATATAGACTCCTGAGCCATCTCCTCCTTCTCCTTCTTCCACCCTTGCTCAACACAGCAGCCAAAGAAAGGATCTTTGTAAAATATAAGTCAGATCATGCCACTACAGTGGCTTCCCACTGTGCTGAGAATGAAATGCAAAGGTTTTACCACAGCCTACAAGGCCCCCACGTTTCCCATGTTCCCAAACCCACATCTTACCACATCACCTAATGTTTGCCCTTTAGTTCATTCCTCTGCAGCCACAATGGCCTCCTTGCTGTTCCCTAAACACTCCAGCACCCTCCTGCCTCAGGACCTTTGCTTCTGCTGTTCTCTATCAGGTATACTCAAATGAGATACCTTCGCGGCTCTCCCCCTCAGGGAATTGTCAGCGATCTATCCAACTGCCACACTATCAGAAAAAACATCTCTTGATCACAACATAGAGCAGTGACTCCCGCCTATCATTCTATTTTCCCTACTGTTTCCTTTTCCTTCATAGCATGTATCATCCCCTGACATATATTTACCATTTCCATCTGTCCCCGCTAAAGCTTCATGAGAGGGACTTTCTTTTGACTATCAGTGTATCCTAGAACTTGGCTCAGTATCTGGCACAAAGCAGACCCTCAATAAATATCCTCTGGCTGAATGAAGGCATGAATTCAAGGGAAGATGAGTGAGGGGAAGTTGGGCTGGAAAGGTAAGTTGAGGCTTGAACTGCTTAGGTGCTGGACTAAACCATTTGGACTCAGCCTGCAGGCAAGGTCCTTGGACTTGAATGAGCATGGATTCATGTGGCCTTCCCCACCAGCACCCCTATGTCTGCTAGCAAACATATCTAAGTTGGGCAGTGAGAGTAACCAACCATCCCCACACACCTTGCATCAAAGTCACACTCCCAGTGGTCTGCATGTGGCTGAAAAGGGTGTTTGCTGGGGGCGTTGCTCATACCTGTCATTTTCAAACCTCCATTTTGCACAAGAGGAAAATGCAGCTTAGGAAGAGGAGGCCACTTATGTGGCACTAGGGAAACCTCTTATACCAATAAAGATACAACTTGTAACCTTACTCTTTCATCCAGAAGAGGCCAAGCAGGTTCTGACATTAGAGTTTACTTAAGGAAACATTTTTCTAGACCTAAAGTCACAGGGAAGTTCCAATTACAAAACTTGGATAACACATTCATTTATGTAATAAATGGGCATCTTGGCAAGCTTTTGTGTAAGGAGAGAACATGGGTGGAAAGTGCTTGAAATGAGTCATTTTACAGCTATCAAAAAGAAAAAAAAAAGTGAATCTATGTCCCTCCCAGTCTTTCCAGGATTCATCTTGTGCTGGGGTCTTCCAGGCCTGGATCAAGATGGACCCACACTGCAACCTCCACCCAAGACACCTCAGGGGCCTTTGCTGTAAATTGCCCTTCTCCTCTGAGTTCCCTCCTTGAGTAGTGGCTACTTCCTCTCTCCCCTCCACTTGGATAAAGCCCACTCAAGTGGCCTCATTTACTTCCTCCCAGAAGCCTGGGTAAGTGCCCTGGCAGTGTTTCCATGGCAACCTGAACTCACTGTCCCGCCTAATATTTAGCACCTCGCTGCTTTCATCCTTGTCTTCTCCACGGCCTGGCCTTTTCTTTTTCCCCTATCTCCAGTCCCTAGCATTGGGCCTGGCACACGTTAAGCGAAGAAAGAAAGGATGTTCAAGGCAAAAAGAAATGAGCCTAAATCTACAAGAAAGGAGAGAAGAATGCTCCCTCTGACTGCCTTCACAGGGCCAGGCAATCCCAAGATGTTCCACTGGGTCTAGGGTGAGTTCTTTACCCTCTAAGGAACCTCTGTTTCCTCATCTGTAAAACCAGGAGACTGGATGCCGCCCTGACTCTCCTACGGGGCTGAAGAGGCCCAGCCCGAATATAAACCACGAAAGAGCGCTGGGGAAATCCCGGCCAGGAGCGCAGACCCACGAGGGTACCGCCTCCTACCGCGCCTGGGGCGCATTAGGTGGTGATCGGGCGCATCCAGTCTCCATATTGGGCCCAGGCGTTGTGCCTGGGCGCGGGGGTCTGGCTCACCTGGAGGTGACGAGCACCGCCGGGGACTGCATGACGGTAGAGACAGCGGGCGGGGCGTGCAGTCACGGGACCGGGCGGTACCGGCGTCGTCCCGTCCCCGCCCAGCGCGCACCGCCCTCCCGAGTCTCCGAGCAGCCGCACCGCCTCCCCGCTGCCCTGGCGCGCCCCCAAGCGGCCACTGGGTGAACTAGTCCAGGAACCTTGTATTTCGGATCCTTTCTGGGCTTCTGGAAGGTGACCTCGTGCGGAGGGCCGAGCCCTTCAGCCCCGCGATGTCCGCCTACGATGGCCGGGTCCAAGCTGAGCTGCGTCCTCTCGCCCAGCGACCGACATGGCGCCGTGACCGTGTGTCCTGATTCGACAGGTCCGTAGTGAGGCACGGAAGAAAAGAGGTGGGGAAGTTTTGTCTCAGGTGACCAGAAGTCCCAGTTTGCGCCTGTTGTGCTGGTGTAGTGGCAACGTTGATTTCACACTTATAGAAGTCCCACTTGGGACTATAAATTATTTGGTTCTCTGCCTTGGGGAGAATTTTGGAGAAACAATGCCCCCAGGGATTCTGAGAGCGCCTATTTCCTAGGGTAGGTTTTTGGGTTTTGTTCCAGGAGTTGATTCTGACTCATGGCGACCTCATATATGTCAGAGTAGAACTGCGTGGAGCATGTTAACCATGTGCACTACCTAGGGACTCTCCTAGAGATTTTAGAAGGGTCAGATGAAGTGACAAAACCCAGCAGACAAGCCAAATGCAATCCCCTCTGAGGGTGTAATCTAAAGAAACATTGCTGGACTCCAGAGGCGTTACAGTGGGTTTCGTTAAAGAGACAGACAGGGCTTCCATAACAAGCACATTTGAAGCCTCCTTTTGTGCACTTTTCCCTCTCCCCCAAAGTTTCCCTCTCTGTTGTTGTTGTTAGGTGCCATGCAGTTATTTTTGACTCATAGAGACCCTATGTATAACAGACCGAAACACTGCCGGGTCCTGTTCTAGCCTCACAACCCCTACTATACTTGAGCCCATCGTTGCAGCTACTGTGTCAATCCATCTTGTTGAGGACCTTACCCTTTTTCGCTGACCCTCCGTTTTAACAAGCATGATATCCTCCTCCAGGAATAGCCCTTTCTGATAACATGACCAAAGTAGGTGAGACAAGTCTGGCTATTCTCGCTTCAAAGGAGCATTCCAGCTGCACTTCTTCCCAGACAGAGTTGTTCCTTCTTCTGGCAGTCCATGTTACTTTCAGTGTTCTTTGCTAACACAACTCAAAAGCATCGACTCTTCAGTCTTCCTTATTGTGGTAGTTAAATTTGTATGTCAACTTGACTGGGCCTGGTTGAGTGGCTGGGCAGCTGGTGGTAGTTATTCCCCATGATGAGACTGGCAATCAACTCCATGGTAGGATCTACCATAAGCAGCTGAGTAGCTGCCTTTGGGATGGTGGTCTGCTTCCTGTATATAAGGAGAAGCCTTGGGGATAGTCTCTAGCTTATGGCACGCTTGGACCCTGCATGTAGCCATGTCATTGCTCAGCAGCCTGCTATGCTCTGCCGTCCTTGGGACTTACAATGGACTTAAATTAATGGCCTGCCATGTGGTTTGGTAACATTGGGACTATGCCTTTTTACTTGTCAACCTTGGGTTTGTCAGCCTCAGAAGCCAGCAGCTGTCTGAGTTGAAGAAACGCCTCTAGCTCCAGTGGGCCAGGAGCTGGAGAGAGAGCTGAACCCCAAGGTTGAGGGGCTTTCACCCAGCCCCTAGAGACTGGCACTTTGAACTTGGACTTAAAGCCTCCAAATTGTAAGAATAAACTCCTGTTTGTTCAAGCCATCCCATTTCTGGTGTATTTCTGTTAGAGCAGCACTAGGTGACCAGCTTTCATATGCATATGAGGTGATTGAAAATACCAGGGCTTGAGTTAGGTGCATTTTAGTCTTCAAAGAAAACTCTTTGCTCTTTAGCAATTTAAAGAGGTCTTTTCCAGCAGTGTATTCCAGTGCAATACATTGTCTGATTTCTTGACTGCTACTTCCATTGGTGTTGATTGCGGAACCAAGTAATGTGAAATCTTTTGACAATTTCAAATTTTTCTCCATTTATCATGATTCTGCTTATTGGTCCAGCTGTAAGGATTTTTGTTTTCTTTATGTTGAGGTGTAATCCATACTGCAGGCTGTAGTCTTCAATCTTCATCAGTAAATGTTTCAAGCCATCTTCACTTTTAGCAAGCAAGGTTGTGTTGTCTGCATATCACAGGTTGTTAATGAGTCTTTCTGCAATCCTGATGCCATGTTCTTCTTCATAATGTCCAGCTTCTCAGACTATTTGCTCAGCATGCAGATTGAATAAGTATGGTGAAAGGATACAACCCTGATGCACTCCCTGATTTTAAACCATGTGGTATCCCCTTGTTCTGTTTGAATGACAGCCTCCTGGTCTACATACAGGTTCTTCATAAGCACAATTAGTTGTTCTGGAATTCCTATTCTTCTTGATGTTATTCATAATTTGTTATGATCCACACAATCAATTGCTTTTGGATAGTCAATAAAGCACAACTAAACATCTTTCTGGTATTCTTTGCTTTCAGCCAAGATCCATCAGACATCAGCAACAATCTCTCTCATTCCACATTTCTTCTGAATCCAACTTGCATGTCTGGAAGTTCCCTATCAATATACTGCTTCAACCATTTTTGAATTATCTTCTGCAAGATTTTACTTGCATGTGCTATTAATGATATTGTTGGATAATTTCCACATTCTGTGGGATCACTTTTCTTTGGAATGTGTACAAATATGGGTATCTTCCAGTCAGTTGCCCAGGTATCTGTCTTCCAAATCTCTTGGCATAGCCAAGTGAGTGCCTCCAGCATGGCATCTGTTTGTTGAAACATCTCAGTGGGTATTCCATCAATTTCTGGAGCCTTGTTTTTTACCATTTCCTTCCATGCAGCTGTGACTTCTTCCTTCAGTACCATCAGTTCTTGATCATATGCTACCTCCTGAAATGGATGAACATCAACCAATTCTTTTTGGTACAGTGACTATGTCTATCTTCTTTTGATGTTTCCC